TCTCTCTCTCTCTCTCTCTCTGTGTGTGTGTGTGTAGAGCTGAGATTTGTGAAACCGGCTCCTTGATATTAAATTAAAAACTTACTTTAAGTGTGTGTCAGAACAATCTGCCAGAATACCTCCTCCCTGTCTCCTAGAAGTTATGATGACTGGTGCAGTGCCCGTTGTGGGGCTGTTTGCCTCGTCTGTGGTGATGCTGGCTTCAGCTTTTCTTTTCTGGAACGGTCAGAGTGACCTGAAGTAATTGAGCCGCAGAAAGAAAAGACCTGCAGCTGGACTCTGGCGTCTGTGGAACCCCGAAGCTGCACCGCTGCTGCACATAGAGCTGTTCGTGTGTTTATTCAAAGTTCAGTGAGCAGAACCGGGAGAATCAGTAGCTGTGAACTCACCAGCTGACGTGACTTTGTGCGCTGGATGTTGTGTGCAGAGCTTTTCATAAACAGTCTTTGCGTTCATCCTACCTGGTTTATCTGCAGTGAATTTGCTCTATTCCTGTCGACCTGTGTGACTTTTACATACGTTTGAATAATCTTCTTAACTGCTGTTATTTTATTTTTTTACATTGCATCTGATATGTGTTGAGCAATCGACACACTCGTTTGACCCAAAATCACAGCTTTTCAAAATAAAAGCTCTGTAATTCTGCTGGATTTGAAACATTGCAGCAACAACACAAACACGGTGCTTTCACTCTATAAACAAATTTCCAAAGAGGAAGTGGTTATTAGTAGATAGACGATATCGGCTTTGACAAAACTGCAACAGCAAATGTGTTGTTTGTAGAAAAGTTAATTGCGACTTGAAAACATTATCTTGTAACGAGGGTACGTTTTTTTTGCAAATCACAAATGTGTTGATACAGAGCGTGTTCACAGACACGGAGGCAGAGTTTACGATCCACATGCCGCCTCCTGACGTCAACTTGTGGGGGAAGCTAATGAGCTACATCATCCAGCTGTTAACCTCTGGGTGTGTAAATCACCCAGTGGTTGAGGCTCCAGATGCAGCTGGGTGTGGTGGTGGCGGTGGCAGCGGCGGCGGTGCTGACAGTGGGTAGGTGGGTTTGGGGGCTGCGGGATGAACCAGACAGCCGTGTCCTCATCACTTTGCGGAGACCTTGTCTGTCACTTTGTTTTGACAGAGTTGAACTGCTCCCAGGACGGCGTCTCAGCCACTTAAAGAACACACAGACTCCCGCTGCTGCACAAACACGTCTCCGTCCTTCATTCACAGATTCATGCAGCGTCCTCGTGCTTCTTGAAAACACAGGAAATCACAAGCAGATTGTAGAGCGGCAGTTTTCCAATGAAAGGCACGACCTTAATGGAACTTCTTCACTGTTGTGAAGTAACTCACAGTTCCACACGTGAACTAAACGCTTCTCTTGTTTTCTGTTTTGTGTTTCAGGGCGAATATTGATGAGGTGGAGACGGAGGTTGTGGAGATCGAGGCAAAGCTAGATAAGGTAAGACAATTTCCACTGTCACTGTCTTTTTCAGAGGCTGAAATCACAACATACATGAAGCACGTGATTTATTTGCCTCTCAGACATCGACATCAGATTATATTTCAGCAACGTTCCCCTCATGGTTTTCCACTGATTCCTTCATTTGCATCGTCTTGTGCAATCATTTCACAGCACCTGAGCTGGAGCGCTGTAGCACCACCAGCTGTGGATTTCAAATATCTTCGCTAATGTTCTGGAAAATCGATGCGTTAAAAAGATTTGTGCTGTTTTTTGGAGGGAACCCTGACTACTGACGTTCCCTGCTGGTGCATACACCACATGTGAGCACAGAGAAAACCACTGCAATGTAAAGCATGAACTGGCTGGGGGCGGTGGAACTGTGTTGGAAAAATCAGATTGAGCAACATTGTAATAGGTCAATGCAGGTAAACATTGAAGTTAATCTGTGTGTTAGTGATATTCAGCCATGCCGGCCCGTGGAGACGAGTCCAAGCGACATCTGCTCTGTCTCCTGCTGAATTTATAAGGAAATGGAAATCCTGTCCAATCGGCTGCAGCTCTGCACCAGTATTGTCTTCGTGGGCAGAGGCGCAAGTGAACGTAACTTATTATAAATACAAGGAGGATGTGCACTGACACTGGCAGCAGTCAAACCAAAGGCACATTTGATTATAGTTTCAGTACACAACAGGATAGCATCCGAAAACTAGGGGCAGGATTATTTTGACCAACAACACCAACCAAAACTTTGCTATGACCATAAAAAAAAAACTAAATAATACAGTGGATACCAGCAGTGGTCCGTGGAGAAGACAAATTGTCTCCTTGCTGTGTGGTGGTTGGGTGACGTCCAACACAAGAGGGAGTTTCGAAGACAAAGCCTGTGTTCGAGATAATACAGCGAGAGATGACGACACCAGGATATGAGCGAGCGCTATAACAGATAACAAACTGAACAAGGAGCACAGGGATCAAAAAATGGACCTTGGATGAAATGGCAACGGTCTGGAGAGATCTGGGAGTTGGAAAGTGGCGGAGAAACTTTGGAAAAATTTGGAGGTCGAGGCCATTTAAAGCTTTAAAACGAATAAAAGAAGCTTATACTCAATCCTGTACTTGATTGGGATGCTGGTGAGAGAGCGTGATGTCGCTCAGTCTCGTTGAACAGTTCAGTTCAGGATTTGTTAAAACGTGACGTGGCAGTAAGACGGGATTCACAGAAAACATTAGTCTCCAGTTGCCCTGTAATGAGGCGGCCAGATGCTCCGCCTGTAATGCTCATGTCTCTGCTCCATTTGTGCATCTTTTGAATTACAGTGTGTGTCAGGCAGCGAGAGCCGAGATTAGTCAGTCAGGCAGGCTGCTCTTCGTTTTCCTGCCATCAGTGTTAGAAACCACCACTGAAGTTATATTCCTGCCAAAAACGATCCTGCATGGTCACTTTTTAACATAACGGTTCTGAAGAGACGTCATTTTGACAACTCCGCTTCATGATAGCATCTGAATTTGAAAACTATCACTTAATGTTTGTCTGCATTGATGATTTTAATGTAATCGAGTTAGAATTAGATCATGAAAGGGGGAAGAAGAATCGATTGTCTGATCCAGTCCAGGCCCCTCGTCCTGATTCTGTCCCTGCAGTCTCACTGGATGTCTGGTTAGCAGATGGGAGGGAGAGAGAGGAAAGCCTGGCGACAGAACACAGAGTGAACAATAAAAGAAAGAAGCAGCTAAACAAAGCAGACTCAATGGCAGATATTTCTAATTTTGCTGACGGTGGCAGAGAAACTGAAGCGTCCTCACTTTGATACTTTACAACATGTGGTCGACACTCAAATCCAACGTCAAACATTCTGCTGAATATTCAGTGTGTGTCAACAACATTAACAGTGTGTACGTGTTTGCTGGAGTTAACACATGGTCCCTGCCTGACAGTGCAGCCACGAGCACCACAGGTGGTAACTAGACAACAAACACACATCTGCATGACGTGCTTCCTCGTCCACATGTGGTTTAAAATACAGAGAGAGACAAAAGCTTAAAGGTTGAGAGTATTAAAACGCGGCTGAGATTTCTATCATCACCAATACTCCAACAAATATGCCTAAACAGGAATTCTAAATATTGAAATAACCGTTGCTGTACATCCACGAGGGTCTTACTCTACTGCTGACTTTTCTTCTCATAGAACTGTGAGTGTCAATATATCAGATAATCAAGAAACACAAAATTCAAATTTCACCCTGAACTGCCCACCAGGATATTTGAAGTGGTTCGTCCAGAAACCAGAAGGGCGGTGGTTCAATCCCCAAATGTGTGTGTGGATGGTAAAACTGTAACGTCAAGTGCTTTAAGTGGTCAGCGCTTTATAAACACAGGCCATTCGCCGTATATTCGCTCCAGGCATGACCGACATTGTCTACGTCTCTGCTCACATCAATATGTGTCTGATGAAATGTACAGTCTGCTCAGGTTCCCTCATTAATGTGTGTTTCTTCTCAGCTGGTGAAGCTATGCAGTGGGATGATCGAGGCGGGGAAGGCGTATGTGAGCGCCAACAAACTCTTCGTCAACGGCATCCGGGATCTGTCTCAGCAGTGCAAGAAGGACGAGGTGATCTCTGTGAGTTTCTGACGAGCCTCAAACGCAAACACGAGTGCATTTAATCTGCTCTGTCTGATCTACTGTCGTCGTTATCGTGGCGTTGTTGTCCTCAGTTGTCGTATTTTTGGAGGGGATGGTTGCAGTAAATGTCTGCAGGGACGGGGACTTTCCTCCACAGCTCTGTGGTGGATGAGTGTGTGTTTGTGTGCGAGCAATCCTGATTACTAACACATTAGTAAGTGAGGATCAGATCGGGTCTGGAAACTATGGCTTCTCACGGCTCAGCTCGGAGCTCCAGCGTCTCGGACTATTTTCACTGCCGCTCACATTAAGTACTATTAAAAGCCTTCTTGGCCTGAGCCGTGTGACTAATTGTGAGTTTCTTGTTAAAGTCTTGTTCATATTTGTAGTTTCCATTGTAAAAAAAGATCTGAATCAGCCCTGCAATTACAGTTCCCTTTCCCGTACAAGGTTCAAGGGGGAAAAAATCCTCTCCTGCTCAAAAGTACACTCCTGTGACATTAACCAGCTTTGACTTAATTTTAGAATTCATAATAAAGTTTGGTATTACATTGTGACAGCCGTTGCTTCCTTCTTTTCACTCTCAAATATAAACACAGCTGCATTTATGAGAACATTTCTTTATGTATTTTAGAGTTTAAATACTGTTTTGTGTTATTTTTGTGCAGGAGTTCCTGGAAAAGTGCGGGGAAAGCCTCCAGGAGATCATCAACTACCACATGGTAAGTCAGCCCGGCTCTCCAGACTGTCCCCATATGCTCCACATGCACTCGCCTGAGACACACACCAGCACAATGACTTCATCCAGTCCTGAAACCTTAACTGGCATCCAAGGGTCCCGTATCAACCTCAGCGTGATGCAGAGGGTCACGCTGAGCTGCGTCTGAACCGATTCCACACGTCATTAAATGCGTGTGTCTGTCGATACACAACTGTCAGTACTGTACCTGTCAGTCAGAGGCTGAGCTGTGTCACATCCTGGAGTTTGTCTTTGTGAATGGTTCTATAAAATGCATCACGAATGCAAATAAGGACATTTTAGGTATTTATTAATATTAACAGTATTATAACTAGAACTCTTATTAAGTC